CATCAAGTTCTGATCCACCTGAATCTTCGCCTCCGCATCTAGGACGTACCGGTACCACCGCCGCCGCCGGGTTCAAGTCAGCTTCTGCAACAGAGATACCTCAATTTGTGGGATTCAAGACTGCGAACAACGCTGCTTTTGCTCCTTCAGCGAAGGCACTGAAGGAAGCCGAGCTGAAGAGGAAGCAATGGGACTCAGAGTTCGAAGCGGACTTCAAGGGGGACGACACGCCGGCAGAAGGACCATCTTCGACGCCTGTTGCCTCAACTTCGAAAATGTCCGACACTTTACTCACTGCCAGCCAAGATGGTGGTGGTCCGGAAAGCCCGACGCCTGCTAGGTTTTCCGGATTCAAGCCTGCTGGGCTAGTAGTTCCGCCACCCACGAACGTACCATCCATCCAAGCAGGCAAGAAGCCCTTCAAGTCTCCCCTCTTACCAGCATCGGGTGCCAAACCGTTCAAGACCCCATTACTTGCGCATACATCCACCCCCGCCTACGTACAGTCTCCTCTCAACCCGAACCGTCCCCCTCTCGGTGAAGTGAGACTCGCTCCTTCCACAGCATTCACCACTCCGTCTCGCCCGTCAACATCTTTCGCCCCAGCCATGGCTCTTGGCAGCGTTTCTCCGCCGAAGAAGGCCCTGGGTATCACCCCGCGTCGTCTCAACGGCAAATCCAAGTTTGTTACTCCCTTTAAACCTGGTATGAAACCTGGGGAGGCGGGAAGGCAGCAGCTCGAGCAGAAGTCGCCTGAGAAACCGAAGGAGCCTGTCGTGAATGGCTTCACGCCCAACGCGAAAGGCAAAGGCAAGGAAACGAATCCGTTCTTGGTCGAGCGTACGTGTCTTTCGTTACTCAGCTCACTTCTCGACTGCTCACGCGTAATCCGTAGCCAAACCCAAGGGGAAGATTCCTCTTGCGACATCAGACCTTGTGCCCCAACGATACACGCATGACGAGCTCGAGTCGCAGGGCATGTAAGTACCGACACTTGAATACTTTCACATACCTGACACCACTCGCAGCAACGTTTCCGAACTCCAACAAATCACACCTCAAACCGCCCTATACTACGCATTCCACACTTCTGCCTCCATAGGATTCACCGCATCCCAAGTGCCCTCCACAGCAGCTACGCTCGGGCCCGACGCGGCACTGGATCAACTGCGTGCGAAGGGGTGCTCGCTGGCTACGAAAGAATGGGTAGACAACCACTGGGCGTTGGTGCTGTGGAAGTTGGCGGGGATGGTGTGCTTGGATCCGCAGCGAGAGAAGGACCCTACGAAGAGAAGGTGGTGTTGGGCGGAGGTGATGAAACAGCTGCAGTATAGGTACGCATTCAGCAACGATGTTTCATTGTCGAGCAACTAAAGTGTATGCGTTGCCGAAGGTATGATCGAGACCTGAACAGCGCGTCGCGTCCACCAATCCGGCTCATCACGACCCACGATACACCGCCGACGTGTCCTATGGTCCTCTGCGTATCGAATGTGATCTGGCCAGATGGAGAGCCCTCGGAGGACGATGATGTGGCTCCGGAGCTCGAGGTTACAGACGGGTGGTACAGGCTACGTGCGCAATTGGATCCTTGCCTTGTTCGAGCAGTGAGGAAAGGCAGGATTCGGATTGGCGGGAAGATCGCGACTGTTGGTGCAAGGGTAAGCGACACCTTTCGGTGCAAGTAGCGACTGTTTTCATAACATGCATCTCAAATAGCTTTCCATGGATTCCAAAGAACCCTCGGAACCCCTCGAAGCCTACACCACCACCGCACTCAAGCTCACCGGAAACTCCACGCACCTCGCGCCGTGGCACGCCAAGCTCGGCTTCCAATCCTCGCCATACATCTCAACATTGCGAAGCCTCTCCCGAGATGGAGGTGTGGTCGCGATGATGGAGTTGGTCGTAGAAAAAGTGTACCCGGTCGCGTATTTGGAGTTTGTTGAGGTAGAGGGGAAGACGGTGAGAGAAGGTCCGAGGAATGAGCGGGATGAGGGGGCTGCGCAGGATCAGTGGAGGGTAAGTGGCTCTTTTTTTCTCCAGCCTTACAGAGTGTAGTTTGCTTACTTTGAAGGGTTTCTTTCTGTAGAATCGAAGGGAGAACGCTGCGAGCAAACTGAGATACGACCTTGAGCGACAGACCCTCGCGTTATCTCAGTACGCGGACCGACTGGAACAGAAAGCTGGGTCGGGCTTTCGACCAGGCGACGACGGTGCGTTTGCTCTCCTTCTCAATGGTCCACGTATACATAGATTGCTGAACTTGTCGTCAACAGATCCTCCGTCCATCATAGACGACCTCCTCGTTGACTTGGAAGATGCGCTCTCAGCCACGACAGGCAACACTACCTCAAACCCCGCAGCGAACGAGCTCATCAAACCTCTGTCTTCGTCCGAAGCTGGCTGGCTCGCACGTGCGATCAAGCAGAAAGTGGAGAAAGACAGAGACAACCTGAGTGACAGTATGGAGACGCAGTTGAACGTACGTCTACCCTGTGTCTTTCAGTCCACACGTAGAAACACTGATTCACCATGACGAACAGGCCCTCTGCCCACCTCGCCAAACCCGCTCCTTCCGCGTCGTCGTCGTCCGCGACCACTTCCCCACCTCCACAACCCTCTCCCGGCAACACACCCGCAGCGCCCAACTCACGATCTGGGACGTCTCTCAAGTCTTCTTGGGCGAGGGAGAAAGCGGAGGGGGAGAGGGAGGAGAGCAATTGAAGGAAGGCCAGCGGTACGTGGTGACGAACTTGGTGCCGACACAGATGGGCAGTTGGGTGGGGGTTGATAAGGAGGGGTACGTGTTTTTGAGCACGAGGAGGGATTCGAGGTGGAGGAGGGTGTAGAGCGAAGGAGTGCTTTATTTTGATACCTCATGAAGGCCGGAGGTATTCGTGACGGCCTATACACATACACGCAGTGCTGATGACGGAGTCGTGAATGGAGAAATGCTATATTATCGTGTAGTTGTTATTGTAGAGCATGGTAGTGAGAAATGATGCTAGTGACATGTCAGCGAGAGGAGAGTGTATGTATAGATAAGACAAAAGTTCCTCTGTTGAGAGAGTCAGACAGACGGAAGTAACGAACAAAAATGCAATAGCAAATAGCATAAAAGAACAGCATCCGTCTACGCCGACCCACCGCCGACACCATACTTCCTCAACGCGCCCCTCCAATCACCCACATCCTCGCGTCCCATCACCACCACCGTCGCACTCTTCTCCACTCCCTGTCCAAACACCCTCGCGGCAACCTCCCGCACGCGCTTCTCATCCACCTCGTCGATCTTCGCCAACATCTCCTCTACGGGCACCTTCCGTCCATGCACCAACATCTGCCTCCCCAAATCCTCAACCTCCACGCTCCGGCTCTCCAACGCCATCACCAACGAGCTCTTCAGCTGGTTCTTCGCTCGGTCAAGTTCGGAGCGGGGAAAAGGTGTGTACAGGAGCAAGGAGAGTTGGTGGATGAGGTGTGGGAGGATCTGCGCGGGCGTGTTGCCTTGCATGTGTCGGTGGGAGTGTGCGTTGGGAAGGAAGGATGCGAAGAGCCCGAAGAGCGAGGTGTCTTTGTATATGTGGTGGAAGGAGGAACAGTGGTCGATTTGGGGGTAGTTGTTGAGGATGTGTGTGTAGAGACGGGAGTACATGCCTTTGCCTGGTCCACCTGCGGAGAAACTACCTCCACCTCCAAGCAAGACTTGCATCGTCGCGAGGGTGTACACATCCTCGTCGTGGATTCCTACACCCTCGAAGGCGAGGTACACATGGTTGAACTCGGCATTCGGGTCGTGAATGAACTTGTGTCCGCCAGTGTACCCTGTCCGCGCACCAAACAATGTCGGATCCGGGGGTGTGACCGATGATGCCGGGTACAGATAAGACGAGGCTGCGCGCGTGAGGGACTTGTATATTGATGGTGGTTGCTGGCCGCCTGGCAAAAAGTGGGATGGCGCTGGTCCCGCACGGGCACCCGCATGTGCGGAGGTCGACGTCGACGGTACTGGAGCCTTGAACGACGTGAAATACTTGTCCGCCAATTCGACCAGTTCCTCATGCTGCATCCCTGCTCCTGCGATCACCATCCTCTCCGGCCTATACCACTCCTTCATGAACCCCCTCATCGCCGGCTCATCCACCAAATCAATCCGGTCCTCCGGGCACAGCAATGGGTTCCCTAGCCCCTTGTTATCAAACGCAACCTCATGCAGCACTTCTGGTAAGATCATCTCGGGCTTCGCTTCCACCTCACGGATCTCGTACCGAGCTGCGTCGCGCTGGGCAAGGAGCTCTTCGGGAAGGAAGGCGGCGTTGGAGACGGTGTCGGCGATGAGGGACATGGCAAGAGGCGTGGCACGGTGGAAGTGGGAGGATTGGTACATGATGGTTTCGCGCGAGGAGGAGCAGAAAATTTGGCCACCGAGCTTGTCCATATCTGTGGACATGTCGAGGTCGGAGCGGGTAGTGGTGGTCTGGGTGCGAATACTCAGAATGTGGTACATCTCGAGCGGGAGATAGAACATACTTTGAACGCCATTCTGTCCAAGAAATGGCTGACACCAGAGTTGGAAGGGTCCTCATAGCGAGAACCGGCATCGACGTAGAGACCGAGAGAGGAGAAATGGCCGGGGGTAGACTCGGTGGCTACGCGGATTTTGTTGGGCAGGGTGGTGACCTGTACGGTCGACGGGCCTGCGGGGTTTGAGGCTGCGGCATTATGAAGTTGTCGTCGAGGACGCACGGAGCGTCGAAGGGCGGAAGTAGCAGCTCTGCGCATGAGAGGAGATGGAGGTCGAGGAGGAGCTTGGAATGACCGCTGGTGGAAGAGATGCAGCGGGCGCTCGATCGGTCATCACTCTTCTGCAACTCTTCTGGATCGCCTCTGCACCGCACAGAAATCGTCACAATCAAACTACGGTCTCCCAAACACTTTCCATCGTCTCAAAAACTCTTTTCAAACATCTCGTACATCAGAATAAAAGCGCAAAAAGCAGTCCCCATCGTGGTTCGAACACGAGACCCTGCGATAGTCACGTGACGCTGCAATCGCATGCTCTACCACTGAGCTATAGAGACTTGATAGAGACGATGTCTTCCACCCCGCTCTAACGTTATCCAAATCTAGCCGGTATCGTGTTCGAACCACGAAGACTCGGATCCGGCGCGCTGCAATCGCGATTCGCAGAGACGTTGCCTTACTACTTACTAACGTTGCGTACAGACCTGCTCATAAGCGTGTTGAGAAACGAGTTGAAGTTCAACATGTCTTGTTCGTGCCGCTCAAACCTTATCCGTTCATTTTCGGTGGGAGATTGCATGCTCTGAGCTCCCAGCCCCGGGCCTTCGGTGGGATATTCCATGCCACTCGTGAGGCTGCATGTCTCATGAAATAAGTACGCTGTCCAAATGTTTCTTTCAAACAGATTCATTGTATACGAGTGGTGTGGTGCAGTACACATCCGAGTCCACAGATCATCGCGCCTTCGTGCACTCCTGGTTCTAGCCGCCACCCCACCCCTCTGCTCTCCTGCTATTCCCTCTCTTCACCTGTGCCTGGCGCCGTTGGCACCATTTCCATTCACGTGGTTGGCACCGTTGCCATTCGTCTGGGGACCAGCTGGAGACTGCGCTTCAGGCGTGTTGGGAGGAGCCCGAGGAGGGCTGCCACCTTCAGGAGTGCCGGGAGGTGGAGGTGGTGGAGGAGGAGGCGAGGGGCTGCCGGACCCGGTAGGACCGCCGTTGACGGCAGGGTGGTCGCCGTTGGTGGTAGGGTGATCACCGTTGGTAGTAGGATGGTCACCGTTGGTCATGGGACGTTCATTGCCTGACGGCCCAGAGCGTGGCGTAACGAGCCGTTTCCTGATCTGGTGTTGGCTGTAGAATCAGGATGCGTCAGATTTGTCGGACTTGCGGATAGGACATTGGGAGACTTACAACTCAGCATCGCGCGCGTGAATGGCGTCGATGACGTCTCGGAGGGCGATTTGCGAGACCGTGTCGCGGGCGTAGACAGTGTCGACGTCTTGCGCGGTGAGTGTACTGACGGGAGCTGCGAGAGCGGAGGTGCATGCGAGAGCGACGAGAGTGGTGAAGGTGAGTGTGAAGCGCATGGTGAGTAGTTTGTGAAGTTGAGTAGATAGCTGTGACAGATGTGATGTTGTCGTAAAGATCGTCAAAGAGTTTGTAGAAGGCTGTAATATATATTGTTGTCAGAAGCAAGCAACATTGCACGTGAACTAAGAGGACGCACCTAGTTTTCTGGTACTTGAGTGGGAATATGAGAGTGTGAGCTCCGGGCTGGAGATCTAAGCCTGCTCAACTACTCGTTTTTATACCCTTCCGAACCCACGCTTGGGCCAAATGACCTGTTTTTCAAGCAGTGTAAACTCCAGTGCATCCAATCCTTCTTTCTCACTACATATTGTCTGGATGGTTGATGCTCAACGTACGGTCCTAGACTAGGTGCCTTATTGAAGCCTCCGAGCCGTCAAGCTTCAGTTCGCGTCTTGGGAGTATGTCGACACGGCTGTGTGCTGAAATTGTACAGAATGGATGGTAGAGGGAGAATGTCTGTGATGTAGAGCTCCAACCGAACGTGATTTGAACAACGTCGACCGTGGACCGCAGTGGCAATGAACAAATGAAGATGTGGGCAGCGTAACCGCCACCTTCGTGGCGTCAGAGCGCCGATCACGGAGTGTCCAGGCCAGTTTTTCCGTCTTCGTCTTTTCCTTTACTCTTTGGATTTCCCGATGATACATAGTACCTATGAGAAACTGCTGTGTTGTGAAGATTGCCGTCAATGAATATGTTTGAGGCTGCGTGCATACTTCGCTTCCGTTCTCACACACACGCAGAGACAGGCTCATTGGTGTGTGATAGATATCTTGGCAGTACATACAGTGTACGAGGGTGTAGGACCGTCTTGCGATACGCGAAAGACAACCGTGAATAGCCAGAAACGCACGGTACGGTATTGGACGGAAACACAGTCACCTTAGACGCAAACTCAGTACCATCCATGCTCTCTGAAGTTCGCCAAGCAATCCCGAGCCGTCTCTTCCTTCGTGTGGTAGGTGAGACCCAGGATGTCCTGTACCCGAGTCGAGCCAAATCGAATCAAATGAACAGCCTTCTCCGGGTCGTAGGCAGTGTTTCCAGGGGTCAGCTTGGAATCGGTCTTGCGGGCAGCAAGAACTACAGATACACGACGTGTGAGAGGCGCTTGGACAAGGAGATAAGGAAAATCGTGACATACTCCAATCTTGCCACATGTATTCGCCGGCGGAGTTGAGGAAGCGTTTGTTGCCAGCAGCTTCGACCATGAGAGACTTGACGTGCGCCGCGGCGGTGTCGCGAACATCCACCCAGCCACCGCTGAAAAGCAACAAGTAAGTACTTGGCTGCAATAAGAAGGAAAACATAGAACCTACCCAACGTTGGCGAGAGTCTTGTCATCCCCGGTTCCTTCGACGATATAGTCGTACCACGATGCCATGGACGTGTTCAGGGCGTCCGGAGACTTGACGTCTTGCAGAACTGGACCGTAGACGTACGGCGGGCAGATAGTGACGAGGTCCCAGTCAATCTTGCCTTGATGCTCCTCGACAAATCTCCAGGCTTCCTTCTCCGCAAGCGTCTTGGAAGCGCGGTAAGAGTGAGTGGGTGAGCAATCCTTTCCCTTCTCCTTCGCTTCACGCTCGGACTGGTTGTTCCAGTCGTCCTCGGTGAAGACCTTGGCGGTATCGAGAAACTCGCCGATGGAGGCAGTAGAGGAGGTGATGACGATACGCTTGACGTTGGTGCCGTGCTGGAGGGCGCTCTGGAGGAGGGTGCGCGTGCCTTGGACAGCGGGGATGATCATGTCGTCAGGGTGGGTGCTCTTCATGTGGAACGGAGAGGCGAGGTGCTCGATGGCGTCGACGCCCTTGACGGCTTCGTCAAAGGCACCGGGCTAAAGGGCGTGATCAATACAAGATTCGAGTGAATTTTATCATGATTCTGCTCACCAAGGTGATGTCCTTCACCACGACCAGCTCGAGCTTGTCGCCGTACGAAGCGAACAAGGTCTTGAGGTATGCAGCTTTGTCTGAGCTGCGAATGGTACCGCGGACAGAGAATCCTGCCTCCAAGAGCAGCTTGACGATCCACACAGAAATATAGCCGTTGGATCCTGTGACGAGGACTTTTCCGGATTTGATGGCAGGCATTGCGAGCTATGAGTCGTATGGTCTAGTTCTGCGAAGGGGCCTGCGGCTGGGGATGTCAGAGAAGAGGAGTAGATGGCGGCCGACTATGGCAAGCATGGCACCCTTTTATACACCGTCGAAGTCGCGTTGCAGGTACTCACCGGTGGCCGGAGACGTTAGCCTCCCTAGTTGCAGCCAATGGCAGCCCACAATAGCGGGTCAGAACGTAGGTAGTACTAGCGTACGAACTCCATGTATACTGCGACTGTTGGTCAGCGCTCAGCCACCACTGAGACTCGGAGAGCGGTGCACAATTTGAGGAAGTTGAGAGCTACGATGCGCAAATGCGTCAGCATAGCCGGAAAAGCCTATCACTATCCCACGGTAAGTAGAAATTGTTTATGACGTTTCAATCTAAAGTATCTGAGCGCGCATATCATCGGCCGACCGGGACTCGCCGGGCTCTCTATCGGACTCGGAATCTCTCACTCTCACCTCCACCTCTTGACTTTTGGCCATTCACGGATCGCTCAGCAATACATACTAGTCCTGCTTGATGGTCGCCTGGTTGAATGAAATCATATCCTCTCTGCGCTCTTTAGTATCATCTCCCTCCGACGGATCCGATTCAGGTGTCTCGAACGTACAGAAGAAACATATGGCCAACCCGCTGCAGAACCACGACCCTTCATCTGGTTAGCATTTGCGCTCTTGCTCTTGCTTCAGTCTTTAGTTATGGGCCTCCATTCTTGTCTTGGGGCACCATCTGCAGATCATGGCCAACCCTCGCATGAGCAAGCCCCCGCTCCTGCTCCAGTAGCGCGTCGTAGGCCAACACTGGCCCATCCACACGTAGACATGGGTCCTTTATCCAGTCCTGCTATTCCTGACGGGATGTACTTTGCCTCCAATTTTCTGACCGGAGTTGGCATGCTCATCATACAACCTGCTACCGGAAAAGTGGTCGTTGTGTACGACCCAGACGTCGAGGCGTGGTTCTTCCCCAAGGGCAGGAAGGACATGGGCGAAAGCTTGACGGATGCAGCTCTCCGAGAAGCATATGAAGAGGTACGTTTCATTCAGAACGAGCTACGGTATTACTGGCTGACGAACGGTCTGTAGTCGGGCTATCGTGTCAGCTTGATGCCTCTGCCCACGCCTACACGAGCTCCGACGGTACCTGGGGACAGCAGAGAGTTTCCGGGTAGGCGTCTGAACACAGAGCCTATCTATGTTAGCACGTACTTTTGGGAAAAGAGCCGTCATCGTAGAGAGCCTGGGATCTACTTCACCTTCTGGTTCGTCGGTGAGATTCCTGAAGACGCGGTAAGCAGAATGAATACTCAGACATTTGATGGTATTTGTCTCATTGTCCGCCAGGAGCACCACGAAGATACAGGAATGGAGAACGAGAAACACTACATCACTCATCTCCTTGACTTTGATGAAGCTGCCTCCAAGTTGGATGGAGTCAACCTTCAGGTCCTTGACGTGGGATACCAGCTGTGGCAACATAAAGTGAAAGCGCTATCTCAGTCAGTCTCCGAAGCAGCGACTTAGATGCAACATTGGGAAGAGTGCGCATCTCAGCTTGTTTTGTCACCTTGTACTGATTATGTACCTTAGATTATATCCTTGTAGATCATGTACTTTACCTCAATCGGTGTACGATATACCATGCAGAAATACACTTCGATATCACGTGTAGCATCGCATGCTATGCCACGTACCATGTATCAGATGGATCGATGGCAGGTGCGCTTGGCCACTCATGCAGGATGACTTCAAATCATTCAGCGACTTTCACAAACGCACACGGACCCGTACGTCGTCTAACATCGGCGTTCATCAAGGCTGTCGTTTGCGCAGCATGTTCTCGACGACTCT